CTTTTTTTTTTTTACCTGTGAAGACACATCTTTAAAACTTCCACCGCCAGGCTTACTTATCAAGGGCTCAAGACAATCATAATAGATCATCTTTTTTTCGTTTTGTTTCCTTGTGTTTAAACGTAGGAGTTTTACGCCCTCCTCGATACAATTTAGATCATTAAGACAGGTGGGCTTCGACACTGCCTGTCAGGGCCAACCCGGGCTGGGAGGAATACAGCCTCCCAGCAGAAAGACAGAAATACTCTATAAAGATTCTACCTACAAGACTATAAGGGAATCAAAATCAGATTTCTTTGAGTTCGACGGCGAAGCGCCTAACCGCTACACAAAAGACGACGGTGCGGGAATTCGGTTTGTATGGGTAATTAATAATAATAATAGTAATCATCATCATCATCATCATCATCATCATCACCATCATCATCATCATCATCGCCATCACCAAGTGCCAGAACTGCAACAGACATCGGTGATCATGGTCTACCATTCTTCCCTTTGCTCGGGTATATTCAAAAAGCTAAAATTATCCTTATCTTTCCCAGTCACTCATCTTTGCTCTGCGTCCACCTCTTCCTCGATTGCCTTCAATTGTACCAATGACAACTAGATGTCAAAGGCCCTCACGTCTTTACAAGAGTGAGAGATTAATATGAAGAACTACACACAAGACCTACCTCGTCTTCAGGGAAAGAGTTGTTAGTCCGGAAGTAGCCATTGACCTGGAACGCACGCCATAGTATTTTGGCTAACTGGACAGTGGTCAGACAGTCCTGGTTGAACAGTCGCTGACTGTAGAGTCCGTAGTGATAGTCAATCATAATCCTCAGCTCGTCTTCCACGTGAGACTTGTGATGTAGTTTTCCTGGTAGATACAATAAATCTTTCAGTCACACCTCTGATCTTAGGGTAGGTTAGATCTATAAAACCCAGTCATCTCGGATAAAGGCAGAAAATCTTGGAGGTCCTGTGTGCAAGTTGTGCACTTTAAAGATCCCTTGGTGGTCCAAAATCAACAAGAGTATGCTTCGGCCGCCACCCGAGCAAAATTCAAAATTAATTCCTACCAAACTGAAAGTGTTTAATGTGTCCCACGGCCTCATAATATGACCGTATGCAGTTGTGAGCGCCGTAAAACACTTACAGAAACAAAGCAAACAAGAGAACAATAGTCAAGGATTACCTTGCAAGTGTACGACCGAGAACAAAGAGAACGATTTACACTATTTACTCTCTCCCAACCAGACCATATTTCTCAGTGTGAGCAAGCAATTTTGGAGGCTTCTTTCCTCTATAACTGTCTGAAATCATTTTTAAAAAACGAAGCAGGGAAATAAGTATGTATTTCTGCCAGGCCGTATAGACGTATATTTTTATTTTAAAAAAGAAGTAATCTGATCGTAAAACAGTAGTTTTTTTTTTAATCTTCAAGACTGTTTCCGTAATGGACGAATTTATTGAGAAGCAGAATGCGCCTCACGATACGGTATGAGTTGAAAGCGTTCGAAAAGGTACGAAATTGTTTAGATTCAGCGATTCTCCCAACACTGCAAGATTATTTAAGAGGCGTTGTCACGGCATGGTGATGTGGTTGTATACACGGATGGATCTGTTAAACGAGGGGTGAAATCTGGATGGGGCTTCTTAGCGAGAGTGAACGGCAGATTAGCGCAGGAACAGCAGAGAGCATACAATATGACAACATCTAGCATGAGAATGGAGATAGAGTCAATCACTCAGGCTCTCAAATGGGTTACAACAACTCGACAAGCACATGTGGTCTTTGTCACAGACTCTCAGAGCACTCTGAGGAAGATTGAAAGTGAGAACCTTAGAGTTGAATGGACAGAGCTACTGAAGAAGACGACACAGAAAAAGATCACCTGGATCTTCACCCTGGGCCCTTTGGAGTCAAGGGCAATGAGCGGGCTGATGAGCTCGCTGGAAAAGCAAAACCTGAAGGAAAACTGTGCCCTGACAAACCTAAAATTGTGAATTCAGTCAGTGAAAAACAGGAAAAAGAACAAGAAGAATAGGAATACCATTATCTTGAGCGATTTCGTGAGCTTGGAATTGGATGGGGCGCCTGCAGAAGACTTAGTGGGAGGAGCAGAAGGCTATGGAATCAACCATTGCTTGGAACCGTAAGCATCTACACACTTCGAGATGTGCTTCTCCAGGTGAACGGAGCGCTTATGGGGATGCCCCTTGTGGAGTGATGTTGGTCCTTCACGCAAGTAACAAGTTAAGAGGCGGGACTTTCGAATTCAACGTCCATCTCCAGTGGCACCGAGCCAAATCTGGCATGATGTTGTATCTGTGGTGTGTAATGTACTGTGATGTGGTGTGGTATAAATATAATGCGGCAAGGCGTGATATTGTGGAATGGTTTTTATTCGGTATACTTTTGCTGCTTCGACCCTGCCTGCTGGGGCCAACACGGACTGACAAAATATCACGGAGCTACTCAATAATAACTTTTGCACTATGACAGCCCATGATTCTCATGTCTTGTGCTTGCGATGGCAAAGAGCCTTACCATTACATCAAAGACGATAGCATTGTGTGGTATGGTGCATAATTGTATAGAGTATAATGTGAAGTTGAGGGCAAGCGAGGCAGGGGAAGGCCCAGAACAACATACTTAGGGAACCTAAACAATTGGGTAACAGGGAAAGGTCAGGGAAACGTAGCTTTTTTTTTAGAACATCCGAGCAAAGGAATGAATGGAAAACCATGATCGCCGATGTCTGTCGCAGATCTGGCACTGGATGATGATACTGTGAAATGCCGTGTAATACTATGTCGTATGGTATGATGTGGTAAGGCACCAGATTGTGTAGTGAACTGTGGTGTGGTATGATGTACTATAGTATGATAATTTTAGCGTGGTATTGTATGGTATGGAGTAGCGTTGAGAAGTGAGGTGTGGTCTAATGGAATGGTATGGAAACCGGTAAACGTACCTTTCAATATTGAAAGCTTATTTAACAGAAGGGGTCTTTTAAAGAAGACCTTCCATAAAAGATAACCAAACTAAGTTAGCAAAGAGCACTGGAAAATCTCTAAATAACTTCAAGTTCAAGGATGCGCCATCCCTGATTTGAACCACGGCCACCTGCATCGTAGTGCACATAGTCTACAGTGCAGGTGGTTGGAGACTGGTAGGTCCTACCCTAGACGGTCAGAGAACGTAGTATAAGAACGTATAGGGCCTACCTCTTTTCTTTCCATGTGTTGTTTCTGTCTGTTTTACTTTTTCCCTGCATTGAATGACAGCGTGTCGTGTTGGTGAGCTACTCTTTACTCGAACAAACAAGAGGCTGCTATTACCAAAGATCGTGAACCTTTGCTATTACTATAGGGAGAAGATCTCCAGTACTTTACCTTCTACCAGATGTCCTAGACCCACCACTCGGAGAGAGTAGTGCGAGTCCCGTGAGAAGGTTTCCACGTGACCTACCACGTGCGGTCGGAAGGTGCAAGGGTCACAGACTGAACTGACAGGCCTCCAGTGGGGGTCACGGTTGCGGAGGACATAACGAAGGAACTCCTCAAACTGGGGACAGACAATGCAGAGAACGTTGTGTTGGATTGCTGGTTGAGAGAGCCCTGCCTTCCAGTCTAGTTCAGCCTCAAACATCCCCTGCCCTCACTGCTACAGGAATTTCCGAGCGAAGATCGGCCTGATCAGCCATCTCCGCACACACTCCTCCCCTACAGTGATATGAAGTCAAGGTCATCTTCGCCAGCGAAGAACGAACATCAAATTGGATGTGGGTGCTTTTGTGTGTGTATTGTGTGTTTGTGAGTGGAGAAGGGAGGAGGGGGATGTGTGTGTGTGTGTGTGTG